GCTAACTATTTAGAATAGTATAAAACAATGAATAAGTATTGATAATAAATTTAATAATATTATTTAAATTCAAATAATATCATAAAATTAATTAAATACTATGAATATTTATGATATCATCTTTTTATGATTATGAAATTTCTTGAACATAAAATATCAAACTAATTTAATGATTATTATCAAATATAATAATATTATTTCTATATATTGTATTGTTTATTTATTGTTTTTATATTATTTTATTCATTCATTATTTGAATATACTTTGTTTTCTTTTTTTTCAAATGATTAAAATAAATATATCATGTAAAATAGAAAACAATTAATGATAAATACATTAATAATTTATTAAATTTAATTTTGTTTATAACATATCTTAACATGAAAATGGTATCAAAAGAACAAAAAAAATATTTAAACATCACCACCATTTTTTAAAACATTAAGACTATTTGGGCTAGTAAAAAAGAAGTTGTCTATAATGAAAAATTTTACAATGTCGGAAATAAATTTGATTTATAACAACTTTCATATATAAGAAACACTAAGTAATTACTAATTTACTTTTCTTTTTGTATTAATGAGTTGCAATTCTATCATTTTCTATTCATAATTTCTTTAAAAATAGTATATGAATGAAGTTTTAAATAATTACAAACTCTGATTATTGTTTAAGGTGATTTGATATATTTAATACATGAAATAATATTATAGAATATTGTACTATTTTTTAATCATTTTATTATTATTTTTAATTGTCATATTATATTTGTTAAAATTTATGAATTAATTTGTTTTCTTTTTCTATTTCAACACTCACTATCAAATATTGCATTTATTATTTATTTTTATTAAATACTATATTTCAAGTGATAAAAGAATTACTATTTCAATAAAGAATGAAGTCTAATTTGTATTATTTTAATTTATAAATAAACTTATAGAACTCTAAATAAACCATTCATTTTAATTTACTCACAGTACAACCAATCGAGACAATTGATATTTATGATATATTCTGTTGTTTAACAATTTTATTGATGTAAATATTCTGTATTATTTTCAATAATCTAATTTTAAGATAAAAAAATATGTTGTAGTATTCTCTTTCCTATTTTTATTTAAAGATTAAAATAAAGAAAATTATATTGAATAATGACAAATAATAGCATGAATAAATAATTTTATGATGTTTATAAATATTTCTAATGAAACAAAATGAGTGTATAAAAATAAATTAAATTAAGATGAATTCTATTTAATGATGTTTAACAATAACAGAAAATAAAATAAATTTGATAATCTCATTATTTTATAATTAAATTTGTTGGTTTTGGTCTTTACTTTGTTAGTTTCAATCAAATGAAGTAGAAAAAATAAATAGTCTTAAAGAAAACTATCCAAAATTTAGTTCAGTTGGATAAAGTAGAGTAAAACTTTCGAACTATTTAAGACACAGAAAAAAAAAGAAATAGTTGTTGAATCAAGTGAGCCTGATGCATACTTTAAAATTGAAAAGAAAGAATGTACTATTTTCTTTAATAACCAATTAAAAAAATAGGATATTAAGTGCACAGTTAAACAATGAACTATCAGAAAGTTGGTTTATTGTCACATACTTTGTTACAAAACTAGTTAGAACTCTTGCACAAACAGGAAACACGGGCAATATAAAAATAGTTTAAGAATTCTTTTGATAAGTTTAATTCCAATTTTTAGTCAATACATTTGCTTCGTTGGTGTTGTTATTTTTTGCATTGTTCATTACCTTCAAAAGTATCAAAAAACATAAATAATGTATTGACCTTGTTCGTTGTATGTATCAAACAAAAAGAATCGATTCAAAAAAGGAAATGAACCTCAGTTAAATAAAATATTTGCTGTATATGTTGAAAAGAATTTCATTGGAGAGAATATATCACAGACTGTGAGGATAATTTCTATCAAAACATAAAAACAAAGCTTTACAAAAAAAAGTATTCACACGAAAGTTAGATGAAAAATTTAAAACATTAAATGGTTTGTTAATTGAATCTAAAAAAAATATTCAACCAATTTTAGATGAATGAAAAGAATACAATTTTGTTTTGTTATCAAAAGAATAAGTTATTACTTTTCAAGAGAGGAAGAACTTTTAGAAGATAAATCAATTAAAGGAGGAGGGTTAAATCAATGACAACTCTTAGAAAAAGCCTTAATCTATTCACTATTAAATACAACTAATTATCTCAAAGAAATATTATTTTGAATTTCATTGGTTCCATCCAAAATTCTTATAAAGAACGAAACATGTGCAACAGTGTTTATGGAAAGTTCAACCGTTAAAGATTTTTTTGACAAGATTAAAAGATTAGATGCAGAAGCATAAATTATTAAAACAAATATCTACATAGAGAATTTACAAAAGAAAAGATTGAAAAAAATACCAGAGAGTACAGAACCTGATAACCATCAAGGTTTATTGATAAATTCGAAATAGAAATAAGTAAATTAGAAAATGAAATGAAAAAGTTATGGGAAAATACAGTAACCAAAGTTAGTAAGATTGTAGTGAGAAAACTAGAGGGTGTATCAGATATTATTGTTTCGCGTTATAATACATTTTTATTACCAAAGAATTTTAAAGTAAAAGGTGTAGTAGGTATATGCCAAATCAATAAATGCAAGTACACTATTTGGAAGATTCTTAGGAGCTATAAACCTTTCCTGAACAGTTGGATAAATTCCACTCATTTAATAATTCTGTTGATGCACAACCCTTGACAGATAAAATTGGTGTGTTTCAATAACAAATGAGAGGATTAAAAAGAACCAAGAATTAGTAAGTGATTTTATTAATTTATTCAAACTTCAAAACAGGTTGAAAAAGTAATGGATAAATGATGAAATTAATACTAACAAGTGTCCAGAAATAATTGTTAAAAAAAGCAGAAAATATGTTGTTAATCAAGGAACGAATTCTGAACGTAAAGCTAATCATAAGATATATGAAATCGAATAAAATACAAAACTGGAATGAAAAAAAAAAATATAAAGATTAAATGATGAACTAGTTATTAAAATCAGTAATAATTGAAAAAGATGAGTCGTAGCACGTTATTCATCTTTTATTTTAATGGTTTATATTTTAATTTTCAAATTAATAAAAATGAATTTCTAGATACTTTTAAATAAATAAGAATATAAGTTAAAGAAATAATTATAAAATATTATGAAAATATCAATGAAATATATTTAATAAAATTATCAATAAGTTTAAGTATTAACTTAATAATTTACAATAACATCATTTAAATATTATAAAAAATATCTTCATTTCTGTTAAAATAAATACAAACAATAAATTAATAATTATAAGATAATCATTTTATTTAGTGAAATGACTAGTCATTTGGTTATTACATAAATTAGTATGAAATTTAATAACATTTTTTATAAAGTTACATTATCTTCAATAGTTCTTTACATTTTAATACCTCGTTTATTGTTTATATTTATTTACTAACTTAAGTACTAAATTAGTCATTCTTTAATTGAAGAATTGATACGATTATTCCAATAATTATCATGACTATTTTATTATCATTCTTTGTGTTCATTGAACAACTATCTTCAATAGATTGTTATTGTTATATTCAAATTTATACCATTCATTACAATATGTTAATACATTTTCTATTCTTTTTCCAATTATCTCAAATTTATCTCTCCATATCCATGTTCTGTATTAATTTCTTTATCCCATTTATCAACTCTTTTAACTAATCTTTCCATTCTTTGGATTACATTTTGTTTTATACATCTCTGTTATTTTTTGTTTCTTTTTCAAATTCTTTAATCACTTTTCTTTTCTATCAAATTGATGAATATTCATTCTTTCATCTATAATATCAATTGATAATTCTCTAAGAAGGTTTTCATTATAAGTCATATTCACTATTAATTCATAAGTCAAACTTATTTATTGAAATTTGAATTAAATAAAGTATTTAATTATGTGTAAATAGAATTAGTTTATACTGCTAATTGCTCAGTAGATTAATCCTGTCCACACGTCGTTTTCTAGCAACTCTACAGAATATGTTTGGTTGTTGTAGAAGCAATGTTCCATAACATCTATCATATTTTTTATTATAAAGTTTTTAACTTCTTTTGTAATATCAATTTCAATCTTTTAATTCTTTAATTAATTTAATACTTTCTACATTTACTAATTAATTTGTTGAATTACTACTCCAATTATTTTGAAATCCTTTAATTTCTCTATTTTAATTAGCTTATTTTTCAATTCCTTATACATATTTCTTTTCTTCCAATTACTCTATTAATATTGTGATATGCAACAATAGTCATATCAAATAATAGATTAGTTTTATTCTTTTTATCTATTATATATAATTTGTTATTGATATTCTTTCAAGATAATACAAATATGTTGTTCATTTCTTGTTTTTAGTTACTTATTTTCATAGAATTAAATTCAATTCATTGTGATAATGATATTATTATAATGTCTGTACCTCTCATTCGATTTTGTGATTTGTTTTATGTTCCAATTATGTAGAATAAGAATAGGTAAAATAAATGGATGAAAACAAAATATGAAACAATGAATCATTCTGTATTTCAAATTATTCAACAATCAAGTTAATGTATCAATGAAATATGTTAATGAATGAATATTTCAAATTAAACAAAAATAATTGTAAATAATATTTGAGTAAATAAAAATAAATATAACAACTCAATGAAATGATGAATTGAATATTATTTAATTTCTGTAAATTTATTTATTACTTATTACTATTATTTGATTATTGGTATTATCTATTTATCATGAAAATGTATATTAAATTATTATGATTAAATTTAAATGACGTTATAATCGATTGCAATTATATTTTAAACTACTTCATCAAATTGTATTTTAGAAATAGAAACCCAAGGTCCTTCTGTTGCTGTTCCATCATTGAACACATTTATTGTTCTTTCAAGTGTTTCTTCTTCTTTATGAACAGTAGTGTTAACGAATTCTCTTCTTTTTATTCTTGGTCCACAAATTATATATCTTCTTCTTTTAGTTTTAACATCTTCATAATTCTTTGTTCTACCTATTTCTTTCACTTCATTGGTTGTTTCTTTTATTGTTCCTATTGGTTGTTTAGGAAGAATAACTTCTTTAATTTCTGTATTTTCAACTTCCCAATTTGTATAACTAACTTCTCCTGTGTATGTTATTCTTTTGTTTCTTCTCAAATATTGAATTTCAATTGTTTGGATATTCATTTCTTGTTTAATGACTCTCTCTTGTTTATCCTTTTCTTCAATAATATTTTGATAAACAGGATCTCCTTTTTTCACTTCTTCTACATTAATTGGTGTTAACGATCTTACCCATGTTAACATACTTATAATTCCATTTTCTGAAGATGTATTATCAAATCCATGTAATCCTCTTGAATCAACAAAGTACATTGGAAATTCTATATTTTCTGTTGTTCCTGTTGTTTCTTTAACAACTTTCATTAGTTCTTCTTGATATATTCCTATTTTACTTTTCTTCTTTTCTTCAATAACTTCGGTAGGAAAATAACAATAGCATTTAGTCCACACTATACAAACATGTCTCCAAAAGTCTGCTATTGGAAAAACGTTCCATATCACTTTAATCATTGTTTTAATGTATTGTGCAAATCGGTCTTGATTAATATCTAAAACAACAACTATTGCTTGAAGTCCTTTTTGTTGTTTGATATATTCAACCATTTGGTCCATGTACTGTTTCCCCCTTCCTTCGGAATCTTGTAGTCCAGGTGTGTCAATAACAAACACATCTTGTCTATCTCCTTCTCCATATGATCCGATTGTCTCTTTGGTCACTGATTGTGGATTATTGCTTTCCTTGAAAAAACTCTTCTTCAAAATAAAATTACAAAGTGCACTTTTCCCATTTCCTGTACTCCCAATAACAACTAATTTTGTTTGTGTCATTCTCTTCTTGTGATTTAATTATTTGCATTTAATTGTTAGAATCACTCCTTTAAAAGACTAAAATTTAAACTTTCCTCTTTAATATCACACTGACTTTCATAAAAACAATTCACTATCCATTCAATCATTATCCCTCATTAACATTTGTTATGATTCAGCGTTTCTTATATTTTCTTATATATTTTATCATTTAATCATTCATTTTAGTTATTGTTATCAACTATGAATTGTTATGATATAATAAAGGAAAAGAATGGTAAAATATGATATTGTGTAATAATAAGAGTTCTATAAATGATTATCGTGTTCAAAGAAGAAAGTTATAAGAGAAATGTGATGGATATAATCTTCTCAATTTAAAATCATAGAGTCAACATGTTCACTTTTATGACTTTTTAGTTTTCAAATAGAAGTCAATAACAAGAAATGAATGATACAAAACAATAAATAATAAATCAAGATACAAATAATGAAGAAATGAAGTTAATCAAATAGAATAAAATGATAAAGAAATGATAAAATAATAAAGAAGATAAAAACAAGAAAACACAATAAGTAATAAAAGAATGAAGTTGAAAATAATAATTAAAATAAAGAGAATATATAATCAAAAAGAACAATAAATAAATGTAGTTTTAAAATAAATAATAAATGATATATAATAATAACACAATGAGAATAATAAATAATATAAATAAAAGAAATGATAAATAAAGAAATAAAACAAAAGAAGATATAACAAGAAATGAATAAACACAATAATAACAAATAAATACAAATGAATATAAATTAAATAAGATATTCAATATGAAAATAAAAGAATAAATAAAATAACATATCAAATTAATGAATAATAAAATCAATACAATCAAATAATCAATCAAATAAATAATAAAATAACATAATATAATAATGGATATTCAATAATAATTCATCAATCATTAAATTATAACAATACAATGATATTTATAATGTAAATTAATTATAAATGATTTTATTGAATTCTGATAACACATTACAAATAAAATCATAAATAAAAATGCAAAGAATTTCAAATAAAATGATTATCATTTGTGAATATGTCTGTATTTAATCATTGTTATTATAAATGTTAAAATAAATAATTAGGTTTTAAGAGAAATTACATCCTTTGTCTTTATTGTTTTCTTTTGTTCAACTTTTAAATAAGTTCTCAGTGTCTCTTCAACAATAAAATCAACATCATCTTTCTCTGAATTACACCACTCAATGTACTCAACTGCACTAATTCTTTTATCCATCACCTCTCCTTGTTCATCTGATTTTAAAGTAATTCCTTGTTCAGCCAAACCGTTAATTTTTTCAGGGTTTTTTCTTACTTCAGTACAACTACCAACAAGAATGATAGGTGCATCTTGACAATAACATTCAATATCATGTTTCCATATTGTTTCCAATGATTATATGAATCTGAGTCAATAATAGAAAACAAAACAATAAAAACATCAATATCTGGATATGACAATGATCTTATCTGATAAATTCTTCATATTCTTGAGTAGAAATCATACAAAGCATTATTAATACCATCAATAATGACATAGATCATTCTATCCATATCATTCAATGTTGTATTCTCTCCTTGAGGAATCTCACCATTGTAAATTGCAATAAAATCATTTTTCAACACGATTATTTCATATAGTAACACAGTTGCACTTCAACTCAATGAACTAGATATTTATTTTTTAGTCTATTTTTTATTTTTCTAATATTCCAAAAATCATTTGAATATTATTGTTTTGTTTATTCAACAGCAGAGTTAGAACATGGTTCATTTGATTAAAAGAAAAACATTTGAGAATTCAGATGAATGTTGAAGTTGAGTGTAACTAAAAAACTATAACTAAATTTAATGAAAAGTGATGCGTAAAACATCACAGAATATTAAACAACTATAACAAAAGAATGAGAAATCAATATCAACCAACAAATATAAATGATAGAAGAATAAGTGAAAGTAAATATTAATTGTAATAAGAAATACATTAATTATCATCATATTCATTATATTTTCATTCGTCATTTCATTCATTTTCATCACCATATGTATTTTATCAATAAATCAAATAGAAACAATCAGTATTATCATAGAAATAATTCACATAATAAAGAACAATGAAGATATAAACAATACCATAATAAAAAACAACAACAAATAAGAAATAAATGAAATGATAGAAATAATAAAAGATAATCAAATTGAATAATTAAAAGAAAGAAGAAAGTATTTTGTATATTAATTTCAATGAATGAATATAATACAATTAAATGAAAGAAAATATGATGTAAACAATGTGTTTGAATTTGTAACAAATAAAATAAATGATATTTAAATGAATTGAAATAAATGTGGTGAATATATAAGAAATGTAAATTATATATTTAATAATATGAAATTATCAGTAACAACATGGATGTCATTAAATATAAAAAGAAATGCATTCATCCAAGTAGTAAAGATGCAAGAAGGAGTAAATATGACAGGAAATATTAATTCTAAAATACTCCATTGTGATATATTAAAATATTGTAAAAATTGTTATATCATTATTCCATCTATTAATCATATATTGTCATGATGTTCTGTAATGAAGAAGAGTCAAATATCAAAACACGACTATGTATGTAATCAAATATATAAACATATATTAATTACCCATTTTAATGATTTTGATGAAATAGATTTTAATACACCTCCTAAGTGCATTAATAATAATGAAATGGTTATATCTTACAATAAAGATTTATTGGTTAATGACCATTCTTTTAATGTTAGAAGACCAGATATATATTATCAAATCATCAAAGAAAAAAATGATATATTAATGATGTCGCCATATGTCAAGATAGAAACATCGAATTAAATTATATTTACAAAATAAATAAATACAAAGAATTACAGAGAAGTTAATACAAAGGAGAGAATTAATTTATGTAGAAATAATACTTGTAATATTAACAATAAATTAATACATAAAGAATCAATAAGAAGTTGAAATCACTGAAAAACAGAATTGAAATCACAAAATACTACGAACAAACATTATTAAAAACATGAAAGACTTAATGTTCTACCATTCAACACTGGCAACACATTAGAAGAAGAACATTCTAAATCTCAAATGATTGAAATGAACTCTATTATAGAAATAGAACATATTAAAATCACTGAAATAATCACTTCTCAATAATCATAAAATCCAATTATGATATATCTATTATTTGATATTTTTTTTAATAATAAAAATAAAAATCATTTCATTTCAATTACAATGACTCATTTTAATGTGAATTCTGGATACTCATTTTCATCAAAAAAATTTGCTATTCATTTGAGTATAAATGAATGTTGATAATAATATGATAATGTTTTATTATTTTCTTTATGAAGAGAATTATCAAATCCATTTTCAGTTAAACAATAATTATCTGATTGATTAAATACAAAATGTATATTTTATTTGGTTAATATCAAATTTCATCATTCCTTCTATTCTTCCTTTTGATTTTAATGAAAATAAAAATGATTTTGAATCATTTATCCATTTATTAACTTCACCAATTTTCACATTAACATATCCTCCAAATTTATTTCCATCTTCATCTTCAATAATAATTAATTATATCTTTTTTATTATTTATTCTTTGATCAAATACTGATGTATTCTCATTCCAATTATCAATATCTGAATTAAATAATATATTCGATACTTTTCTATTTGTCCATTCTTCTATTTGTTCTATTTATTTATTTGTATTTATTCCTTTCATTATTCTTAATCTTTCTTCTTCTTGTTTCTTTTTGTTAAATGATTCTGTGATTTTATCTTTTTCTTTTGGTGTTCTGAATATTTTATCTTTCATGATCATTTCTTCAATTGAAATGATTTTATTGATTATTTCATTCCGTGTTTTACTTAGTATTTCTTCATCATAATTGCATTCTTCTATTATTTTATTCATTTTATTTTTAATTATTTCTATTATTTTAATTGTTTCTTGACTTTTTTCTATTACTAGTTTTCTTCTTCTTTCTGTTTCATCAATTCTGTCAAACATTCCTTCTCCTCTTTTAATAGCTTCTGAATATGTTTCGTCTGGTTTTATTTCAAATATGTCATTTTTGATACTTCCTAAATAATAACGATAATGTTTATTAATATCATCAATTGATTGTTGAATATTTGGAAATGTTTCTATTTCTTCTTTAAAGAAATGAGTGTTCTTGTTTATTAACTCTTCCATTTTAATTTAATTAATATCAGATTAAAATCAGATGATTAAATAATTAAATACGCATTTATAACACTTCGTTTTATTTATTGTTATATCATTTTAATAATGTCATTTCATTTTAAATAACAATAATAAAAACAAGAAAATAAGAAGTAATAAAAATAAGAAATAACAAAACATATCATCACAAATAATGATAGAAATGAAAATACAAATAAAAAGGACATTCTATTTCCAATTAAATAATAAAAATGAAAAATAAATGATAATTAATAATAGTTAAATAAAAGAATGCCAAATTAGAAACAAAGTGAAATAAAAGATAATGACAATAGTATCTAAAATTAATTAGATAATCTGTTAGGATAAAGAAAGAGATAAATCAAAATAAACACGAAATAACAATAAGAACAAGTAGAAAAAATCAATAACACACAACTAGAGCAACGATACAAAATAATATCAATACATCAATATGATAAAGAAATCCAACAAAGAAGTCGAGAAACAAATATGATAATAAATACATAACAGCAATGATAACATCAACAACGAATATGAAAAAAACCACAAGAATGAAAAATAAAGAAAAAAGAATAAGAAGAAATGAATTTAAATAATAAACAAGCAATAAGAAATAAAATACATGAAAAAAAAAAGAAATAAAATAAAGAAAATAAATAAGAATGATAAAATAAACAAGTAATAATTTCAGTAAATAGTTTAATAAATGCAGAGAGAATTAAATTAATAAAAAAAATTAAATGAAATTAACAACATAAAATAAGTCAAAGTGATGTGACTAAAAACATTATGGATACCATACAACACTGTTTCTATTACATTTAACTAGACTCTTTAGAAGTAATAGAAAATAGCAAAGAGATGGGAACACTCTCTCCTGAGCAATAAACAATAGAGAACAACTCTATTAATACTTAATTAACTTTTTTTATTGAAAGAGTTTTAATTAAAAAGTTTTTTTTAAATAATTTTCAAATTTTGAAATCAAGAATTATTTTTCAAAAATTAATTATTAATTGTATCTCTCATTTGTTTAATGATAATAGGTCCACATTAACAGTTTTAAGTTGTTTTAATGTATTCAGATATTACCTATTATAACTTATCTATTTGTGTTAGTTAATTGTTTAACCATCTATTCATCAAGTCTGGATATCATTTTTCTTATCTTAATCTGATATTTATTTCAGAGAATGAATTTCTTATTATTTTATTAGTAAATGAGACAAATCTATTATTTTTTTAATAATAACAATACATGACTATACTTTAACACTTATTCTCAAAACCACAATTTCATTTTTTCAACTCTTTTCCCTTTGTGACACATTAAATTGCACAACATATATCAAATTAAAAAAGGCAGTTTTTTCTTTTATTAAACATAGGATTTGACCAGTTTTGTTAGAGACTGGATTAAAAGGGGATTTTTATTTTCTCTTTTATTAATTCCTTTTTATTGAGATTTTGTTTAGAGTTTTTGATTATTCATCAGAAAAAATAAATTTAAAAATATGAAAAGACAAATTTAAAAAAAAGTAATCAAAATGGGTAAAAAAAAGAGAAATCTATTATTTTCCAACAAAAAGAAATCCTATAAATTTCTTTTCGTCCTAAAAAACTAAAAATGATTAAAAAACTATCAATCATTTTATCATGTTACCAAAGGTATTTGAAAAGGGGTCCCGACTCTTAAAAGTTGACACTGAAGTTCCTGTAACTAGTGAATATAAACAACCAAGTGAGTCTTATCGTAAAAATGTTATTTCAATATTATCTGAAATGAAAAATTTAGTTGGGAAACTAAAAGAATCAATTAACTGTATTCAGTTGATAAATAATGAATTAGCTACAATGTATTCTTCAGGAAATTCAATTATTCAGAGTGAAGTAAAATCATTTGTTGACTCAACAGAAGGATTGTCAATGAAATCATTACCAATACTTGAAAATGAAATCGAATGTTGTGAGATATATTACAAAGATTTACCTAAGAAGTTTTCTCGTTATAGGAATAGTAATTATCAAGACTATTATGAACAAAGATTTGATGTTATAGATCCATGTATTCTTCTCGTTTGTATTTTGTATTTTGTTTATTATATTTTTACAGTATTTTTAAAGTGTTTTTATTATTAAACTGAAACTAATGCTTAAAAAGTATATGAAACTTGTTATTGGTTTAACTGGAGAGAAAATTGGTTTATTTAAAAAGTTGTTATATGATGCTGTTCAAGATGGTCTTTCTATTCCTAAATCATACACATTATTAGCATCATTTAAGTCTATATGTGAGAATAGAGTTGGTAGCTTATATTTAGAAAAATGTCTAAAG